ATATTAAATATTTAAAATATAATAATTTAAATAAATAAATATATATATATATATATATATATATATATATGCTTCATAATAATATAATTAAAGTATTATTCTGCAAAATATTATAAATAGTGCTTTTTCTTAAAAAAATTTATAATAAAATTGAATATTAAATATTTCTATTTTAATCTACTGAAAGTATAAAATTTTTAAAGTATTAAAAATAAAACATTATACTTAATCTGTATTTATTTATTTATTTTAAATATGGTAACTAAAAATTTAAACTATTATTTTAAGAATAAGATAATGATAATAAAATTATAATATTGTATCAAAAGTTCAGAGTTACATAGTCTCTTACTTAGAACGCATCCAGTTGATCTTGAAGCGATGCTTTCTCGAGACCTATAGCTTTCAAGTTACATTCTCCTTGTGTCACATCTTAACAAAGAAATATTAAAAATATCGAATATTAAACAATTACATCCCACAAATAAAATTAACTCTTAACTAAGTATTTTGTGATTAAAAAAGGATTTTGAAACATGAGATATTTTTAATAATTACTTAAATTGAATAAAAATTGTATACATATTTGACAATTATCAAATGGGCAATTGATCAGAGATACAAATTGCCAAAATTTGAAAGTTTAGAGACATATTTTGTAAAGAAAAGACTTGGAGACAAAATTTACAAAAAAAAAAACTGAAAGTTTAAAGGCACAAACACTAGTACAAAAGAGACATTTTACATCTGTTATTTTAGACTTTTACATCAGAAAAAAGTCTACCATCAATGCGGGAGACGTAAATTTACGTCGGGTGTTTTAGCCGACGTAAAATTACGTCGGACATTTCCACGTCCAACGTGAAATGGTTGACAGACAAATAAAAAAATCATCTCAATCCGTAAATGTCCAAAAATTACTCAATAGCTTCAATCCAATGGAGAGATAGGTCTAGAATAAAAAATGGGTCTTGCCATCATGCATCGAGAACGGAAAACCCCGAAAGGTCTATCATCGTTGTCGTCAGAAACCGTTGGAGAGGAAAATAGTGTCAAAACACTCACGTGCAAGAGTAAAATAACATTTTTACACAAAAAGATCAACACACACGCATGAAAGAAATAACCTCAATCCTTGAAAATGCCTAAATGCTTCAACCCAATCAAAGAGATAGGTTCAAAATCAAAAACGGGTTTCAATGCCGTTGTCATCGCTGCTCACCGTCATTGTCATCCTCGCTGTTGTCGTTGCCACTCACCGTCGTTGTCGTCGCCATTGTCGTTGTCATCGCCAGAAATTGCCAGAGGAAAACCCTTGAGGAAAACATGTAAAAACACTTGCGCGCACGAAAAAAATGAAGGTGCAGAAGGAATAAAACAACTTTTTTACGTTGGACAAAAAGGAGTCCGACTTAAAAATTGAAATCTACGTCGGACTGTACTTCATATCCAACGTAGATTTTAATTTTTACGTCGGACCCCCTTTGGTCTGATGTAAAAAAAGTTTAGATTAATTTCAAAAATGTTACCGCGTATTTTTTACGTTGGGTATTTTTATGAACAACGAGAAAATGGTGACGTAAAAGACTGATTTTTCACTAGTGAACGTACAATTAATTGTTATTGAATAGTTTTTTCAAAAATATATTTAATTGTAAGCTATGGCTAAACCTTTTTGACCATCATCATTTATCAGTTGTTGCCATTGTGGTGGTAACTAGCAACAGACACTAGAAAATTCAATCATATTCTAGTAATCTTCATTTATTATTGGAGATAGAGATGGTCGTGGGAATTTGGTTTTGGCATCAATTATACCAGAAATCAAAAAGAACAAAAATTATTGATGTAAATGTAAATTAAGAGAAAATGACAATTTGAATTTTGTGCTTGATGTAATAATCAAAATGTCTGAGTATATGCTTGTTCCAAATCTATTATCACGAGTTCAATAATAAATGCACAAATCCATGAATTCAATCATATTCTAAGTGTGTGTTTAGATACGATTTGATGATTTACGTTCACTAATAATATTCACGTCAAACTGCTCAAATGATCATGAAAACTTGAAATTATATAGAGTAGTTTTGATATAGGTATAAAACTGTACAAGAATTATATATTCGCTGCTCGCCGTAATTGTCGTCGTCACTGTTGTTGTCGCCGCTCACCGTCGTTGTTGTCATCATTGTCATTGTTGTCGCTAGAAATTACCAGAGGAAAACCCTAGAAGAAAACATGTAAAAAACTTGCGCGCACGAAAAAAATGAAGATGCAGGGGAATAAAACAACTTTTTTACATCGGATCAAAAGGAGTCCGACTTAAAAATTGAAATCTACGTCGGACTGTACTTCATATCCAACGTAGATTTTAATTTTTACATCGGACCCCCTTTGGTCCGATGTAAAAAAAGTTTAGATTAATTTCAAAAATGTCACCGCATATTTTTTACGTTGAGTATTTTTATGACCAACAAGAAAATGGTGACATAAAAGATTGATTTTCCACTAGTGAACGTACAATTAAACCTAAAATTATATAATAGATATGTTTTAAAAAATATACTAAAATATAAATAAGTTGATTACTTTATTATTATGGTTGAATTTTAACGGAATTAAAGCCTAAAATTTATAAATAGAGCGGTTTGTTGAGCTCAAATATGTGTTTCCTTTCCAAAACCGTCTCATTGTAGAATTAAATTGCACGACGATGGCTCTGAGTCTCAATTTTGACCGGCAACAGAACCAGGTTATCTTTTCTTCCTTTTCAAAATGATTTTAGATCTGCAAATTATAATTATGAGTAACAGTAACTAAATGGCAAAATAGCAGCAGGAAGTTGTAAAAAAAAAAAAAAAAAAAAACGATTAGTTGTAACCTTTTTGACCATCATCATTCATCAGTTGTTGCCTTTTAATTGTAAGCAACGATTAGTTGTTATTGAATAGTTTTTTCAAAAATATTTTTAATTGTAAGCTATGGCTAAACCTTTTTGACCATCATCATTCATCAGTTGTTGCCATTGTGGTGGTAACTAGCAACAGACAAGGTTTGTTTTTTTTCTTACTTCTGAATTTTGTTTTTTCTTGCTCTTCAATATTTTTTTCTTCTTCTAGTTAAAATGTTTTGGGGTTTGAATTCTTGGTGGTGGGTTTTGCTTCTGTCGGGGACAGGTATGGATTGGAGATAGAGATGGTCGTGGGAATTTGGTTTTGGCATCAATTATACCAGAAATCAAAAAGAACAAAAAATATTGATGTAAATGTAAATTAAGAGAAAATGACAATTTGAATTTTGTGCTTGATGTAATAATCAAAATGTCTGAGTATATGCTTGTTCCAAATCTATGATCACGAGTTCAATAATAAATGCACAAATCCATGAATTCAATCATATTCTAAGTGTGTGTTTAGATACGATTTGATGATTTACGTTCATTAATAATATTCACGTCAAACTGCTCAAATGATCATGAAAACTTGAAATTATATAGTGTAGTTTTGATATGGGTATAAAACTGTACAAGATTTTTTCTTGTTTTGATGGGAAACCAAACATGCTCTAATTGAAAAAAAAATAAAAATAAAAAAGTTAACTTAAACGTCACACTTAAGAATTTATATACGTACTATAATAAAGTATGACTATGCTTCCTTATTGTTGACTTTCTTTATAGGTACTTTTCATCGGAAATTCTTGTGTGAAGGTAGTGATACTAAACAGACCTCAGAAGCTAAACAGCCTTAGCCATGAAATGGTAAGTTCATAAATAAATTATTAAGCGTCTTAAATATAAACTAATTTACTTAGTGAACACTGTTTTTAAATTTTACAAGGTTGTAGGAAGATCAATGGAAGTGTCGTTATTTAGATATCAAGTGGTTTAGTTTTTATATAAAGGCTATCCCATTCTATATATATTTGCAGGGACGAGCCACCAAAATATATTTTGCAGTTGACAGTAAAATAATGTCAACAAAATTAATTAAATTAAAGGAACCCACAATTATGACATGGAGCCACCAAAACCTAACAACGTGGCTTCTTTCACTGTTTTGCAGAATTGTCAAATAAAAAAGAATTTGGAGTTGTATGAGAATGACCCTTCAGTCCAACTTGTGATATTGAAGGTAAAGCAGAAGGGGAAGACTGCAAATAATTTTGTTAATTAGATTGATATTTAAGGGAAAATGCCATATGAAATTCAATGTTTTTTCTTGCTCTTCAATATTTTTTTCTTCTTCTAGTTAAAATGTTTTGGGGTTTGAATTCTTGGTGGTGGGTTTTGCTTCTGTCGGGGACAGGTATGGATTGGAGATAGAGATGGTCGTGGGAATTTGGTTTTGGCATCAATTATACCAGAAATCAAAAAGAACAAAAAATATTGATGTAAATGTAAATTAAGAGAAAATGACAATTTGAATTTTGTGCTTGATGTAATAATCAAAATGTCTGAGTATATGCTTGTTCCAAATCTATGATCACGAGTTCAATAATAAATGCACAAATCCATGAATTCAATCATATTCTAAGTGTGTGTTTAGATACGATTTGATGATTTACGTTCATTAATAATATTCACGTCAAACTGCTCAAATGATCATGAAAACTTGAAATTATATAGTGTAGTTTTGATATGGGTATAAAACTGTACAAGATTTTTTCTTGTTTTGATGGGAAACCAAACATGCTCTAATTGAAAAAAAAATAAAAATAAAAAAGTTAACTTAAACGTCACACTTAAGAATTTATATACGTACTATAATAAAGTATGACTATGCTTCCTTATTGTTGACTTTCTTTATAGGTACTTTTCATCGGAAATTCTTGTGTGAAGGTAGTGATACTAAACAGACCTCAGAAGCTAAACAGCCTTAGCCATGAAATGGTAAGTTCATAAATAAATTATTAAGCGTCTTAAATATAAACTAATTTACTTAGTGAACACTGTTTTTAAATTTTACAAGGTTGTAGGAAGATCAATGGAAGTGTCGTTATTTAGATATCAAGTGGTTTAGTTTTTATATAAAGGCTATCCCATTCTATATATATTTGCAGGGACGAGCCACCAAAATATATTTTGCAGTTGACAGTAAAATAATGTCAACAAAATTAATTAAATTAAAGGAACCCACAATTATGACATGGAGCCACCAAAACCTAACAACGTGGCTTCTTTCACTGTTTTGCAGAATTGTCAAATAAAAAAGAATTTGGAGTTGTATGAGAATGACCCTTCAGTCCAACTTGTGATATTGAAGGTAAAGCAGAAGGGGAAGACTGCAAATAATTTTGTTAATTAGATTGATATTTAAGGGAAAATGCCATATGAAATTCAATTTGTAGTTTGGCTTTAATTATTTATGTATGATTAGTAACTGCATTATTTTTATTATCTTTGAAGTAGTAAGTAGTAATCTATCATCTGTTTTTCGGTGTTAAATAGGGTAATGAAAGAGCTTTTTGTTCTGGTGCGGACTTGGTATCATTGATTACGTCTTCAGCGGTAGGTATTGTCCAAAACCAACAAAAATTATTTGAAAAAAATTCCCTAATTAACCTCGAATACCACGAAAAAAAAAAGTTGAATTAATGGTTAGATATATGAATAGTACTAATACTTTTCTAATATGGTTAAAATATATTTTTGTTTTATAATTTCATTTTATTTAGTTTCTGTAATTTAAATTAAAGATTTTTAATTCTTACTGTTAATTTGTGTGTGACTCCATTATGTATTTGTTAATGTGACAAAGTCATCTTCAGGTCGAGACTTTTTATGTAAAATGAATTTTTATTTGATGGAGATACCCTCATAAATTGGGTATTAATGTTCCATCGTTTAACCTAATAATATTTATTTTATTAAAAATTGCAAATTTTGTAACTTATCCATCAGTTAATGAATTCTCTTTATAATTGATTGAAATTTATGCTACCAAAAAAACTAAGTTATTAAAACTTGTTAGTATTAATAAATTTCAATTAATAATAGACAAACATTTTTTTTTCTTATTGAAATTATGTACGCTGTTATATTAATTAGTGGTTTTATGAAGTTACATTAACAAACTAAGCGTGTATTTCAATTTTAATTAGAAAATCAAGTTAAGTTGAAATTCACTTTTAAAAAATAACGTCTTTCTAACTTTTGATTTAACTGAACAAAATAAAAAAAAAATGATAAATATATAAATACTTTATTAAATATTTATTAACCGAAGCTACAAATTTGAAACATATAACAAAGATAACGAAAATCCCTTTGTAATCTTTGACTAAATTTGTGAAACAGGGCACTGGACCTATGGTGCTGGTTATTACAATAAACTGCTTACTCTATAGAGCATATGAGGGGTGGGCAAATTAAATTGCACTAAACTGAACTGTTAAAAATTATATTAAACTGAAAAGTAGTTCAATTAAATTGAACTGAACTGAAAATTAGATTACACAAACGGAACTGAACTGTTTTTTATTCTATTAAACTGTACTGTACTGAACTATACTGAATTATAATATAAATTAAACTGAACTGCTATGTACCTTAATCTATTTCTGAACTGCACTATTTTCGAACTGAACTATTTATGAACTGCTTCTAAACTGTGCTGAACTATTTAAGAACTATACCAAAATCAGATTATTCAGCTGCCTTGTTGCCCTTGTACGTGTTTATCAATTACGTTTGTACATCATGAGAAACTGGAGAATGTTCCTTATATTCCATAGTGAATTTGCCTTTGCCCTGCAGTTACTAAGGAACCACAGACCCAATGGCCCAACTCAATTTTTCCATATATTTTCTCCTAAACTGTAGCAAGCCATCGGCATGAATCATGAATGTCATTTTCTAAGGGTCAAGAGGTATGTGATATTTTCAACTAGCATTAGTCTTTAACGTAACTAAAAAACTCCAAGAGCTAGTTCACCAAATCAATCAAGGAAAACATATAACTCTGAGAAATCGAAGACTCTAGCTACATCTAGACTTTGATCGTATTTTATTGATCAAAGGTTTCTGCATAGTCTGCAAAGACAGAACATTTTTATTCCTTTAACCGTGGTAATTTAAAAACTAAGATCTGCAAAGACAGAATATTTTTATTCCTTTAACCGTGGTAATTTAAAATCTAAGGCCATCAATTTTCAATGTACGGTTTATATTTTTTATATATAAAAAGGATTCCGGATTCGCGTACGAGAGCCAAGCGCCGTGCCCGTGCCTGCGTGCTTTTATTTTTTTAATGTGTAGTTATTTATAGTTAACCAAACTGTAACTTAAATAAGTTCAGTTTTTTAAAACTGAATTAAAAAATAGTTTAATTCAGTTTTATTTTAAATAGTTTTAGTTTTTTAGTTTAAAATAATTCAGTTATTTAATAGTTTTAGTTAAGTTTAGTTAATTTTGCCCAGCCCTACCTCACAGCAAAGTTTTGGGAGAACTTGGTGATTCTTGAGTATACCCTCAACTTCTGGAACTTTGATTCGATTATGTTGAACAACTTTCCATCAAGTCTCATGTAGTAATGCTAGCTTGCTTTGTATGTTATCACACTGTAGTTCTGGATGGAGATAAACACTCAAAGGAATATGCTTGCAAGGCAGAAAATTGGAAATGACATGCAACAAACCAGGGATGAAAATAGAGTGCTACATTTCCATAGCAGGGCGGAGAGGCCCCTGGCCATAATGGGTACCTCCATAGCAGCGCACTTCAATGTTGCAGCTGGAATAGTGGCTGTAGCAGCTGCGATAGCGCTGCTACAGCATATTTTCCGCAAAATGGCCTCTGGAAAATAACTTTTCAGTTATTTCATATTCGGGCTTTTTTGGAACTTTAGTTTTTCCTTTTTAAGTTTTATCATATTAAATAAGAAGCTGTTTTTACATTTTTTTCTTGGTCCCTTTTTTTCTGAACACAGTCCTCTTTTTGCCTTTTTGGTGAATGTCTTCTAAACATGTTCTTTTATTTGGTTGACTTTCTCAATATGTTTGAAACACATAAAATAGTATAGGAGAAGACTATTTTCACTTCCCCTTACAACTTTCACAAATTTTCAATTAATTAACATAATTATTTGTATTGATTGGTGTGATTCGGTTAAAAATATCTTATAATAAAAATTAAAATTATATTAAAAAGTGAAAATACAATTATTTTGAGACATTAATTTTTTAAATATTAAAATTGCAGTGAATTTGAGAAAGGGAGAGAGTCATATTTTAGTTTTTTTAAGTGCTCAAAAGCACAAATTTAAATTGCGTTGCAATTGGCAATTGTGATTTCATCATGATCCTTGATGGTTAGAGAAATTGCGGATGAAAATGGCTGTGCAACCAATTGCTGTCATGAAGACTTCAAAACCCTAAAAAACAGTAACAACAAATTCCAATAAAATGTTTTGGGGAATCATGCTGAAATGGGTTTACAACAAATAACGAATCATCCTTAACGAACAAAATGTGATGGATCCATTTAAGTGGTTTTGTTTGAACGGTTGTGGAATTAGGTCTCTTTCATTGATGGAGTTGTCATGGGAGGAGGAGCAGGTCTGTCCATGTTCACAAAGATCAGGATTGTGACCGAAAAAGCCGTACGCTTCTCTTCATTTCCCAAAAATGAAAGTTTCACACCAATTCTGAAATTCTACACAAACATGCATTTATTATTATTATCGATTGTTGGTAGGTATTTGCCATGCCAGAGGCAGCTGTAGGTCTTTTTCCAAATATGGCAGCAAATTACTTCCTTTCTAGACTTCCTGGCTATTTTGGTGAGTGTGGTTACATGTTTTATATATAACAATTTACAAAAGTGATACACTAGTATTTGTGGGTAGAAATTTGTATAAAAATTGAAATGAAATTCAATAATCTCAAAACTAGTAACTGCTTAAAAGGCCCTAATTAAAAAATAAGGTTTTTGTTTGTAACATTTGATATCCCTTACCTTGCATAGTTAATTAACTAAATATAATCATTATTAAAAGAAATGTTGTATTTGAATAACTTTAACTAAAGATAAAAAGCATTACATTTGAAATTCTAATAAAATTAAATCAACGTCTAACTGTTACAAACTAAAAGAAGATATGTTTTACAAGAAGTAAACTATAATTCTTAAAATATAATGCATGCATGAAACATAATTTAGGATCCAATATCACAGGCATCAGAGTTATCCCTTCAATCAACTAGATTTGGCCACAAAGAAAGTCTTTTGCAACCACATATAAAACATCCACAAGAAAAATAGGAGAGTGAGAACATATCTCACTCCGACTAACGATATAGAATAAGGATGGGTAGCCACAAACAACATCATATAAAATCAATAATTAATATTCTCATCAATCCATACAATAATTTCAACTCAATTTATATCTCACTCCATCATGACATCAATCAAAACACAATTCAAACACAAGCAACATGTTATGATCATACATATACCAAACTCTCCTAAACTATATGTATGTGGGCCAGTAAAAACACATTTATCCTTGTTTGAAGGCTAAGTAATCTAGGAATATATGTCAGGTCAAGTCATCACAACACTCTCACTAGAAGGATATACTACTAGGGTCTCGTTAGGATAGTTGAGTCGTGCAAGATATGCACTATACACACAATGGGCGAGACTGAGACTTATTAAATCAAACTATCTCTAAGGACTAATTCCCAAGTTTTTATATAAAGGGGCCTTCCTTAGCAATGTATTTTGCATCGTACCCATCACAAAAATACAAATGCGTATGATGCATGACATTCAAGACTTAATGCACTTATCAAGCATAATCACTTATCACTCATAAATCATAACACATCATGTTTTGTCACTAATCACTTTATCACTGCACAATTCATCACTCATTACTTTATCACTTATCACAATCACTTAAGTACACAAATTATCTCGCACATACACTCATAAGAACTAAGTTCAAATACAAGGTTGTGTTTGGCGGGACACGCCCTGTGCTTGGTGCGTATGTGGCCGCGAGCCTCTAAAAGGAATCATGCCCGACGTGATCCTCCTCGTGCTCAATGCCCGACATAGGCTCACACTACATGTGTGACACCCTCTACCCTACATACCATAACACATAAATAATAAAATTTCAAAGAACATAATCTTTCATAATTAAAATACCAAATATGTTCAAATAGAGAGCACCACATTCATGACTTAAACAAGTAACATAATCAGCAGAAATTACAAAAGAAATAAGGCTAAGGTTTTCAAAATAATTTAATAGAAACAACATCCTAATCTAATCCTATCCACGCTCCGATGTCACATGTCCTATCAGAGCAAAGCCCAACATTGAAGCCTAAGCTTCATCACCAACATCCTTAGCCTCATGCTGATGATCACCTGTATAACAACCAAAGAAAAACAACACAAGAAAAGGGAGTGAGAAACATCTCACTTTGGCTCACAGTGTAGGAATACACACCGGAGAGCCAAACACAAACAAGACATGTATATGTACATAACATAGATAGATTAACAACAATATCACATCTCACTCATCCAAGACATAAAAATAAATCAAGTTAACATATAACATTAAAATGCACATGTAATGGACACGGAC